CATCCCTGGCCTTGGTGCTCCATGTTGGATGACAGTGTGTTGACCAGAGCAGGAAGATGGAGCCATTTTGGGTGGAAAGTACTGGAACCCGGGCCACCAGAGGTCTTCTTGTCCCATTTCAACAATTTTCTTGACTTCCCCTAGATACTGTAGCATCTTTGATGGAGTTCTAAAGCTATATTCCACCTGTCATACTGCTTTGTGGGCATGAAAAGCAGGAAGACAGTTTGTAAGTAAAGGTCCGACTGTTGGGGGTGGGGTGGTTATATGTGGTGTTGGTGCTTTTGTGATGCCACCAAACATATGAAGCTAAGCTCAGTGAGTCTAGCCGGATTCTATGAGGAGACTTCAGTCCCATTTTTTGTTTTCTTTTGGTTCCTCAGTGGGAAATGCGTTTCCTTGAAGATTTCAGGTGTGTGAAAAGCATGAATTCTTCAATCTTGTTCCTTGTGCTCCGCCATATGCCTACTTAATGTTGCTAAGTGTCACAAAGTCAGCTGTTGGATTTGGACCTTATGGTTAAAAGTCCAATGCTTATCCTATAGAGCCAAACGAGGACTAGAGCTGGTATTTAATTCCCATATCCATTTACTGTTGTACATAATATTGAATTAGAATCTAAAATTATCATATTTTATTTTCCTATAGAAACCGAACAGATGAGATGTGTACATGTAAGTTTGTAGGGTAAAGTTTCCACTGAAAGACAAGTTCTAGATCATCTGGCCAGTTCTACTTAGATTTGTTTTCAATTTAGCTGATATGACCTTCTCAAACAAAGAGGAATGTTTATTTTATGTGATGTTAAAAAGTCACAGATTGGATCATGGTAAGACACACTTTGATGGCATAACAACTGAATTCTAACGCCAGGACACTGTATTAGTGTGACTTTAGTTTTATTGTTATTTTTAACTGTCTCCGTGAATGGGTCATTCATTACTTTGCTTTTAAAACACTTGTTTCAGTAAAAATAAATGGAGATCTTAATCTCTAGCAGGGGTAGCAAATTAGTAGCCACTCAGTGTTCAACTTGAGAATTA